TACAATAAGGCTTTCAAATAAGTCATGGCTGTACGGCAGTGAAGCATTGGTGTTGAGCACTGATGTCATGCTGTCGTTGATGATGATGATGACCGTAGGGCGACGAAGCACAATTGACGCCAACAGTCTCGTTACGACCGGGGTCAAGCTGACCCCCCTGTGGTTACCACACTCATTACGCGCCCCTTTTTTTAAATCGGGCACTATCAGTTGTCTGGAACACTTCTGGCCGGGAAATCCTTCACGGATGAAGTATTGTGAAGTTGAAATTAAGTCCTTTGACGAGAAATCCTTAATCACCCGTCAAAAGAATAAATAAATTACGAAATATCGCTGCTGAAACGTGAGAAGGCACCAGGACCGAATGGTCTCTATCTAACCCTCTTCAAAGAAAGCGGAGAACTTCTGATTGGTGCTAAAGCTGATTGGTGCTATATGAAGTCAAGAGAAAGTGCATGCAGAGAATGGGGCATGTCAGCAATTATTCCCGTCTTCAAAAAGAGTACACAGACGCGGTGTGAAAACTACCATGACCAGCTGTTGCATCGAAGGTTCTCCCTCTGGTCTTATCCTTCGACGGTTGACCGAACACAGTAATAGAAGTCCACGAAAACCAAGCTGAGTTCCATCATGCAAGAGGATGAGTCGACCACGCCTTCACCCTCCGACTGATTCTGCAACAGAGACACTGCTTCTAGCAACTAACGGTGGTTGTGTCCCTCGATCTGAAAGCTGTCTTTGACTCTTGTTACCGTCAGGTACTATGGCAGTGTCTATAGAGCAAAGTGTCCCCCATAACTCCTCGACCCCTCTTAAGGCACGGTAAGCGAATTCCCGCGGACTTGGGAAAGTCTACGGGTAGCTCTCGCTTGAGTTTTCCACATCAAATGGTTCCAGACAACTGTCCTCATTCACCTTTCCTCTTCACCTTCGTCAGCCTCTAATGACCTGGGGTTGAAGTCTTCCCGAGGCGTCCGCTCACAGATATGGAGTATGCAGACGACACAACTCTTCTTGGATTTGACACCGTGGTAATGCAAACAATCCTAACTAATCTAAATAGTTCTACCTCACGGTTTGGCATGCGCTTCACACTTGCAAAGTGTAAAGTGCCAACTTTGTGTTTGCGGATAAGCCACTTGAGGTAGTAGACAAGTTTGTTTACCTGAGCAGCTTTGTGAGTCCCGGTGGTCTCAAGAGTGATGATATTTTCATCGGGATTGGGAAGGCTAGATCAGCTTTCGTGTGTCTGCGTCACCTTTGGCATGGCCGTGATATCAGCTTATTCGTCAACGGTGGAGTTTACAATGCTGCGGTGCGATCCATATTGCTATACGGGTCAGAAATCTGGCCACTGCGCGCCGAGGACATCTTCAAAGCATTTCCCGAGTCTGGTAGGAACACCGAATCAGCAATTCTGGAATACGTTGAAAGGTATTTGGAAGAAACAATTCATCCATGATAAATAAACCCATCACCCCGCATAGGTTGCGCTACCTTGGTCACGTGCTGCTTATGCCAGTCGACCGACTTTTTGGAAGGGTTGTCGCACAACCACGCGAAAGGTGGACACGACCCAGGGAAGGTCAAACAATGACTTGTCATTGTCGTCTCCCCGGTTGGGGACCCCTAGGCACACCAATGTTTAGAGACATTGTCAGACACAGCTCAGTCGCGCCCTCAGTGGCGCATTTAAGCTATTGCGCTCAAGGCATAGCTCCCGTCCCAATCCCTTCACTTAAAAATCCACTGGCGGACGGGCATTTACGCACCAATTTATCAGCTCCCGCCTCCGATGCGCAGCCACCTACTTCACTCCCGATATCATCAGTGGACGAAACTGTGACAGCTATAGCCACAATTACGTGGTTCTTACAGTTGATAGCTATCATGGTGATACTGATGATCGTCATCATGTCTAGCTGCCATCCCGCCCGAAGGAAGCGCGAGGTCTGGAATACTGCCAGGTTGCCGAAGCCTAGACAGCGCAAGTCGAGATGCAGAGATCAAGTTCGACCCGCAGACCTTCCGGTCAGTAAATTCACTCTCTACCTACTAACTTTTACTGAAGACCCTATCGTCCTGTTTGGTTTTGTGACCTGGTACCACCTCAGCTCAGCTACTAACATGCTGCCTACAACGAAAAATACTGATATGCCACATCCACCGTTACATCATGTCATCAGCTGGGTCGCCTTGATGTATGCGCTGTGTAAACGTAGTTTGGAGCCCATGACCTTTCTGGCCGGTTTCATGGCCCTCTGCTAGGTCAAAGTTCGGTCACCCCTTTGCCCCACTGCACGGAAAACAGCACTTTTCGGCACACCATGTTCGGTAAGCGCAGTACATGGCCCAACCACCGCGGCTTTTGGTGCTGGACGCAACCGAACATGCGCCTTCTAATTGCCTTGTTATCAATTCGCCGACACTAGCCTACATGAGCTATGGTTCTAAAACGGTTGTTGAAGACCTCAAGGCTTCTCAGTTCCACTGCTCCTGTAGGGTAGTCCTCACAGTCTTACAGCAAAACAACCCATACTGTAGCCTGATATACCCTTGCCCCGCAATTTAGAGATATGTGATGTGTTTAGTTTGCAAACGCGACCCGAACATTCGTGAATTGACTTCCTACTGTACTGTAGTCGGAACTAATATGACTTCCAATGTACCTAAGGCGCCCCACAGCTTCCAGTATCCGTTTTTAGAGTGCAAGTGACGTGTTCAGTTACCTCAGTCAGAATTGTGACCTCGCAAAGGGAACACTGAAAGATAACATCACCTCGTCCATTTCATTTGAAATAGCTTGTGTTCCCTCTTCGGTAACGAGCACGTCGTCGTCTGCATATTCCAGA